AGTGCCCTGCTGTGGAGCGGCTGGGGGTGATTTGTGGGGTGTAACGCCTGTGGAGGCGGGGGCTACCCAGCGCCGCGCTGGAGGGGCGACTGTGGCTGGGGTTGGGTAGGACCCCCGTCAGTTACTGTTCACCCTGCCTCCAAGGGACGAGATCACCTGAGCACACGCCCAGAGACCGTGTGAGAAAAGAAGAGTGAATTCCTCAAGTAGACTAGGGAGATCCTGTCACAGCATTTAATGTTAAATTCAGTCTCCTCTCTTGAGGAAATGCACTTGTATTCATTCCCTAACGTTCAAGAAGCAGGCCCATTAGCATGGCTTGACTGAAGTTAGCCCACGAAAGCTTATGCTCAAATAAATGTTAGGTCTAAGGTGCCACAAGTACTCCTGTTCTTTTTGTGGATACAGACTAACACGGCTGCGACTCTGAAACCTGTCAAATAAATTTAGTCTTCCAGGAGAGACAGCTGTATTACATTTTCTATCTTACCTTTAACTGGCAGGGTCGATTAGGCCATGCAAAATAAGAGCAGCTTTGTTCTCTTCTGACTCTGGGAGAGTGAAGGCTTCTGCTAATGCATATGATAAACAATGCTGCAAGCGTCTCTGCTGCCACTATACTTTAACTCTGAGCTGGAAGGACCACTTCTGCAAATGAAGAGAGCCTTGCAAATACACGGGTATCCGCTTTAGATCTGCGGATATCCGTGGGACCATTTCTGCGGATACCAGCATGGATGCAGATACAAATTTTGTATCCATGCACGGCTTTGATGGTAAGAGCGGGCAGGCAGCTGAGAGGAACTGGAGTGCAGATCCTCCACTTGCCCTGGGCAGAGGGCCTGGAAAGCAGGGCCAGGGGCTGCTCAGGCCCCATACCCAGGGCAGGTGGAGGGTCTGCGATGGCTCCCCCCAGCTGCCTGCCCAGCTCTTACCGTGACTGGGCTGCAGCTCCCAGCTGCCCCACTCCCCGTCCAGACATGGGTCGGGGAGAGTTGTGCTGGCAGCTGGGGGGAGCCTGGGTCTCTCCACGTGCCCTGGGTGGGGAGCTGTTTGGATCCCATGCCCAGGACAGTGGGAGGGTCCGCTGCAGCTGGACTCAGGGGGTGGGGCTCAGATAATTATATAATTAGCCCATCTACTGATGCTAGCACTGATGGCACAGTTGGGAACTAATATAAATAAACGTTTGTGGTGTATTGTGCAGTTTAGACCCTTAGTCATAGCAGTGTGTCACAAATATTTTAATTGTTAGGCCTGCAGCTCCAATACACCTTAAGAGAGCAAGCTAGATTCTACTGTGGTTCACCCAATCATTTTAAGCTAGCAATGATGCAGACGCTGGGGGAAGGGAAACAACTTTCAGCTCCTCCATGAGTCTCAACTGCTTGTGGTTAAGAAGAAAAGTATTTTCTTCAACCAATTGAGCACATTTGATCTGGAATTACTCACAAATATTGAGTGCTGGGGTTTTAGTCACTTTTTCAGCTACAACCATAGTTTTATGACAACGTATATTATTATAGCCAATGAACACAGATAGTTCCATATACATTGTGTGTCTTGGAAAGCTGTACAAAGATGCACTATATACAGTGTGGTTAACTAGAAAGCTTTCACTTCACTTTAATCACTTGTACAGGTGGATTCCCCTCCCTGCCCCTTTAAATAATTTAGTGATTATTTAAATTCTAATGAAGGTCAGAAATTGACAACAGTAGCTAAAGCAGGAAATCACATTAGAAAGACACAGTGCAAGGTTCTTCACAGTGTTATCCAAGTGCAAGATGTGCATTATTTTGCAATACAGGCAACAGGTACTTGAGACCACCAAACTAATGTCACAAATGATCACAACTGAATTGGTCTTAAACGTGGGCAGCCTAGTCCATCCTTAACCTACTGTTTCTCTCACTTATATCTAGTTTTTTGTTTTTAAGTGCTCTGACTTGGCTGTTTAATTTCTAAGGAACCTTTATTTGATGTTACATTCACATGATATTTACATCACATTCCTTTTTTAGTAATTAATATTTGTGGTATTTAACTTGATTTCAATTACTTTTCAAAAGTTTGTACGTTTTAGCTGCATATGCCATTTCACTTTTATAAAAATCAGTACCATAAGTTAAACTTCCGATTTAATACATTTTTACATATACACCTCTACCTCGATATAACGCTGTCCTCGGGAGCCAAAAAATCTTACCGCATTATAGGTGAAACCGCGTTATATCAAACTTGCTTTGATCCACCTGAGTGCGCAGCCCCCCCCAGAGCACTGTTTTACCACATTATATCCGAATTCGTGTTATATCGGGGTAGAGGTGTAGTTTGAGAGTGGGCAAAATTAGAGTTTGTTTATTCACAGGTCACTGACTAGGACCCCAATTCCTGCAAAGACTTAAGGATGTGAATAGTTTGAGTATGGACCTATTCATGTGCTTAAAGTTGAACATGTGAAAATTTTTTGAAGAATCAATCACTTTATCAGTGTTTTCTAATAAAATGTGTACAGTTTGTGTACATCATTTTTGCATGTACTCACATTTATCTAAATCTATCTTGTTCATGAGCACATGAGTCTTTACCCAAACCATATAGGCTTATAGGAAACAAATAAATTACAGTTGTTAGACCCAACTGAATTTCACTCTCGGCTGTAACTCAGTCAGCCAATTGCTAATTAGCATTGCAAGTATACTGAGTCATAAAGCACTTTGTCTCATTTTTATATAATAAAAACCTGTGAGAGGTTTCACAGTATGAACTATATATTGGATTTTAAAGAGATCTGACCCAAAATACCACAAGATATGTTTTAGAATTAGCCATCTTGTAACAGGTTTGTAATTAGTCACATCGGCACCCATCCTTTATTCAATTGGGGCTGAATTCTAATCCCCCAGTACAAAGTAAATATTCAGGCTTTGCACAGGGCACCTACAGTAAGTGGAGTTGGGTGGTGGGGGAGAATCCTGCTTTCCCAACCCACAGCAGGCACGCAGGAGTCAGTTTTATTTTGCAGCCACAACTGCATCATCTGGGATCTATCAGAGGCTATAACCTGCTATATGCCCTCCACCGCGGGGTTTTGGCCAATGGATAGATGTAGTTGTTGGACCCATGTGAACTCTCTCTCCATGTTGCTGCCATGAAGCACTGCTCTGCTATACAAGAGGTGCAGAGTACTCCTGCAGGGTCTCCCACCCTCCCTCCCGCAGTGGAGCTGTATATTGTTGCTACTGCTCTTTAGGCCTGTATCCCACACAAGACGTTGGCATTGAATGTAGGGCAAATCCTGTCCTCATGGGTAACAGATCTATTAACACAAATTAGAAGATACAGAAGTTACCCACTGCTCTACCTGATACTACATGAAGTTACTTCTGCATCATTATTCTATATTTTTAATGGTCTCATTATAACAGTTAAGGGGGTGGTAATACAGAATCCTAATGATATTACATAGAAAACTGAGTGATAAATCTACTATGCATAATTCAGATTCTGGTTTAACATGGGATTTATATGTAGACAACAACAACAAAAGAACACATCTGACTCCCAGAAAATATAGTTTTTGTGGTGAGTATTAATACCACACTATATGGTACAAGGTGGACAGAAAGTAGTGAAAAAATGCTACAGTACTAGCTACATAAAAGCAAATGTTACAAAATTAATTAGGGTTTTCACTTACTGAAGAAAGAAGACCTAAATATATTTTAAAAAGCTCAAAAGACTCCACCTTAAATCATGGACTTTTTAAAATAGTTTAAGTATCTGATTTAATAATCTGTGATGCCTGAAGAATTTATGGAGTATCCACTTGAAAACTGGATCAAAATCTTTCACACTTGGTATAGGAAAACAAGCAAACATTTTTATTTGAACTTTATTGCTGCTCTATCATAGCAATACAGAACACACACAAACAAAAAAGAGTTAATTAACTAAAAAGCCTTAAATGCATTCTACCTTTTCCCCAGTTTTGAAAAAGTAACCTTATACATTTTTCAACATAATACCTGCAATGACAAGATTGGAAAACCAACACAAGATAGTCCACTGAAAATCTGAGATTGTCTTTATAACACAACATGATTTGGGATCCCCTTCAACTCTTCCAGTGCCCAATCCTGCAAAACACCGGGCTATCTAAATTCCCATTCAGATTATTAGGATTTCCATAACCAGTCAATTCCAGGCAGGATCAGTACACCACCCACTCTCATTCAATTACATGAGAAACTCAGAGATTTAACTATCTGAACTAAACTCGACAAAAAACAGTTATGTCCTGCTCAGCTTTTGCTCTGGGCCCAGTAGTACAAAGAGAGGGGCAGATCCAGGCTTCTCTGGTAACTATGGTACGTATATTGTTTGTGATGAAAACATATTAGCAAACTGTTTTTTTTTTTTTTAAAGAGTTCTTCCAATGCTCAAATTAGGTTACTGCAGTAGTTTAGCACATTGGCTATTTCCTAGAGGATATTCCTAATATATTCTGTGGGATAAGGCGTCCCGACGTAGAGCTCTGTTGAGAATCTGCATTCTCCAAACCCAGAACCATTCTGGCATGTACTGTACAAGCAGAAACTACAAAAGAGAGGGGGAGAAAAGGTTAAAGGATCTGTTCTGTCTAGGTAAACTTGCAGTTTTTCAAACTACCATGAAAGTACAACTCTTTTTCTGAACATCAACACTTATTATTTTACATTAAATAGAACAAACTACAGAATATGACAATTAAAATTAAAAAAGAAATGCTGTAACTAAATATAATGTTATGGACCTTAGAACCACCTTACTCATACAGGTGTAAGATCAGGCTCTGCAAATATATCTTAGTTGTTTATTCATAAATTCCATGCTCTCCCCTTCATTTCTTCCTAATCTCCACCCCTTACGTCCCTCCTCCTTTCCCACTTTACAAAATGATCCAAATTAACCAGGAGATGTCATTAGTGCTCACACCAGTCCCTTTGCAAAGTGAGGTTATGGGCACATACTGTGCAATTAAAAAAGGAAATTACATTAAACGGGGAGACATTTAGATCCATCTAGCCCAGTAGCCTATCTTCCAACAGTGGCCAATGCCAGGTGCCCCATAGGGAATGAACAGAACAGGTAATCGTCAAGTGATCCATCCCCCGTCAACCATTCCCTGCTTCTGGAAAACAGAGGCTAGGGACACCATCCTTGCCCATCAAAGCTAATAGCCATTGATGGACCTATCCTCCATGAACTTACCTAGTTCTTTTCTGAACCCTGTTTTAGTCTTGGCTTTCACAATATCCTCTGGCAAGGATTTCCACAGACTGACTGTATTGTGTGAAAAAATACTTCCTTTTGTTTGTTTTAAACCTGCTGCCTATTAATTTCATTTGGTAACGCCTTATGTGTTTTTGAATGCAATTTTTTTTTTTAATTTGGGCTGCAAATTAAAAGTAGCAATCATATTCTCCCTCTCCTCCTAAGGCAAAATATGTAGTCCAGTCATAATTTGATTAAACATGAAAGCGGTCAAGAAATATGGAGCAGTGCCTCTGGTTTAGGTTAATTGGTTTGTGCTGCTCATTAGAACAAATGTCCAAAACTTTGCACTTGTTTTAGCTTCTCGACTCCCATGAAAATCAATGGAGGCCACAAAATTAAATTTCCCCCTTTGAAAAAGTAATGAGATTTACTAATGTAAACTAGTTGGATTAATTATGTTACCTGAATAGAATGGATCCAGTATCCTGTAGTCCTTCTGGATATCCCAAGGGTGGAAACAGCATGATGTGCATATACTTTAGCTGAAGGCACACACAAAAACTTGTTTGACAGAACGCGATCACCAAATTGTGTCATGTTTGTGGAGATGAAGAATGGGATTAAACTCTGAATAAAGATTCCTTTTGAAGCATATTCGTAATGTAGTGCTCTACTGAAGTGGTCCAAGTAGGCCTGGTAAGATAAAAGCAGAAAATTAGGATTCCTCAATTTTGCATGGGGAGGAGGGGGTAATAAAGTCTTTGTGTAAAGTATTATTAAAACTAGTATCTTGGACAACTATACTACTATTCTGACAAAAGGGTTATAAAAAAGAAAACCTATATTTTGACATAAATACTAGAAAAAAAATCAAAAATATGTTTTTATGGCATGACCATGATTTCCAGTTTTCAGCATCTGTTTGTTTTTTTCAGCAAATTGTAGGAGACCCAGTTAATTAGTTTAAAGGTATGTCAATTTTAAAGACCCTTACTTCTGGCTGAAGTGTTGCACCTACTATTGGTGCAAACACTACCTGAATTTACAACCAAAATATTTTTTCTTTAATACCTATTTTTTTTCCAGTTTACTTAGTGCATTAGACAGCACTGTGTAGTGCCATTTAGGTCCTGCTCCTGCAAACATTATACATGTGCTTAACTTTTCATGTGCACGTAGTCTCACTGAAGCTAACAGAAGTACTCGTGTATAAAATTACACACATGCATGTTTACAGAATTAAGGCCTGGGCATGGCCCAAACACCTTCCTCAGCTCATTTTACTCCCCAATGTAAAAACTAACCTTTGGCATCATAAACCTGATAGTGGGGACTATGGAAATCAAGCACAGCACAATAAATAAGTTTGGTGCACTCTTATCATAGTAGTAACATTGCTGTAATGTTGTCTGCTGCACTCCTATCATAGTAAATGGTTAGTCAGATGCCTGCGATATCAGTGCAGTGCTGGTAACTAAGTGGCCAGCCAGTACGATCCTGGATTCCCACATGTGCACATACTTTCTGCCTTGCTCCATGACTCATGGGATTCGCTCCCACAGTTGCTCATGGGGCGTAGTGGGAAAAAGGGAGTCATCTTCCCTTCCCAAACTCACTCTGCTTGTGGAGGGGAAACAAACGAAACATTAACAAAACAACCCCTCCCCCCCAAAAAAAACTTTAAAATAAAAATAATATGTCTGAAGCAGAAACTGAACCTGCAATGTCAATAGCCCCACTAGTGCTTCTCTAACTCCTGGTAGCCTTGGCCGTGATCCTGCAAACACTTAGCCTGTTAGTAGTTCAACTGAAGTCAGTGGGATTACTCACATGCTTAAAATTAATAAAGTGTTGAAAGGATTGGGGCTTTCGTAATCCTACCCCTTCATGGGATCTTGTATGGAGGAGGCAGGAAGTCTCTGATACTAGTTCTACTGCTATCACGAGGATTTTGGTCACTTCTAAAACTTCTAGGCACTACTGTAATATTAATATATGAAATTCCACATCTAGGTAAGTGAGACATTAAGGCACATCCTTTTCTCTAAATTTTGCAAAAAATAGCACTTTACTGTTCAGAAACTGACATTTAATAAAGGATTAATTTAACAACAAAAAGAACTACCAGCAAGTAGCTACACTAAACTACTTTTAGAGGTTTACTATAATCCACAGCAAATTACTGGGAACACTATGCCACAAACTTAAAAAAATATTGTTATATGAGAACCTGAGAGTCTCATGTTTTAGCTAGGTAGAATATATCTTAAAACATCTGAAATGACCTGGGACTTGCCCTGTGGGGGTGCCTAGAGGGGAGAGGCAGAGAATGAAGTCCAGAGCCTTCCCTCTCCCTCTGTAGGGAGAAGGCACAGTCCTTGTGCTTCAGACGGCCCAGGCTAGCATCATTTGTGACACCAGCCATTCTAAATGGACCAACAGGTAAAGCCATTTTTTGTATAGCATTTACCAAATGGTGCCCTAATCCACGACTGGCGCTCTTAAGCAGTACCACAATACAAATAAATAGCCTCACGCCCCTCTGCACAAGCTAGTGAAGCTCAATTGGCATGGTAGGGTTAAGCACATTCTGCACCCTGGCTTACCTTGGAGGCTGAATACACTGCCATCTGTGGTGTGGGTTTGCAGCAGGATCCAGAAGAAACATTCACAATCGCACCTCTTTTCCTCTGTACCATCCCTGGCAGCACTATGTGCACCATCATGTTAGCGGCAGCAATATTTACATTGACAATTTCCCATAGTTTGTCCTCAGACAACCTGGTAAAATATTCCGGGTAGGTATAAAACACTCCTACATTATTCACCAAAATCCCAATGTCTTTGTCTCTGAGGGCTTCCTTAATGGAAGAGTAAATCTCACGACCTTTGCTGAAATCTGCTACTATAATAGCGGTTTCAACTTTATAGGTTTCGGTTATGTCTTTAGCTACGGCCTCCAGCTTCTCTTTGCTCCGGCTGATTAAGATAATGTTGATGCCACGGCTTGCCAGTTCTTCAGCATAGGCTTTTCCAATGCCAGCTGTGCTACCTACAGCAGAAAGTAAGATAATAATGTGGAGATACAGCAGCTAATATGGTGACCCCAGTTTTCTGTTTCCACTTTTATTTCATTATGATATTGTTCCCCCTCAAGGTGATAAGAAATAAGTGATCAGTCCTGATCTCAATAAAGCCATGCCAGAGAGAGACCTGTCTATTACAATCAGTTAAAACCCCAAATCATAAAGTAGTAAAGGTAACTATGAGAGTGGCGTAGGGTTTAGAACACAGGATTAGAAGACTGAGGCAAGTCTAGTGAAGAGAGTATGTCAGAGGTGCAAATTTTACCCTGAGCCAAATCTGAGTGCTTTGTGAAAGTCGTTATACAAAGAACGTGAACAAGATAGTGGGTACATATCTGCCTGCCATTCTGCTCCTCCAGTAGTCACTTTTCAACTAGAGGTCTCTGCTCATCTTCTTAGATGTCAACAGCTTCTGAGTCTGATCAGACACGCAGAAGCAGCAGAATCGCTAAGTAAAGGAAAAAGAATGGCAGAATCCAGTAATACCTGCATGGAAAGAGGTTGTGTCAGACTGTAAGAGCATGACTGAAGTCAGTAGGACTCCCTAAGCTCTGAGACACTGGATCCTCTGTTTAAAAGGGAGGAAAACTATTGCTGGAGAGTTTAATTGTCAATGCTGTTATTTCAGGGCCAGTATTTACTATGAAAAGTCCAGATTCATCTGAAAAATAGCACCACAAAATATAGTAACATATATCACCAACGGGTAGATCATTACTAATGGCAAGGAGGGGAAAAGCATCTTTCAAATCAAACACAAGTACGACTGGCTTTCAGATAAAAATAACAGACACACTGTTGCGTTCTCTTACCAGTGACTACCGCCCATCTTCCATATTTCTTGACAAAATCAGCCCTGCTCACCAGCTTGGGGATGAAATGCAACCTGATCAAGCTGTAAGAATCACACACAAGAGCGAAGCATTTTCTGGCCACATACCAGGCTCCAACTAAAGCCAGTGCCTCCATATAAAAACTGCAGGAACGACCAATCTCCCTATACAAGAGGTAGAAACTGTCAACTGCAGCCATGGCAATCAGAAATCTAAAAAAGAAAACATAGGTGATATATAAGCAATTATCAAACCCCCTCTGTTTAGCAGAACACAAATATTACACTGACCATAGCTTTAGAACACAGAATAATCTGATTGAAATGAGGTGGAATTTTATTCTTTTTGTACTGATGTTTAGTAACATTTCAAGATGGAAGGAAGCCAGGACACCAACACAGAACCATGCAACTGTCGAACATTTGGAAAGTCCACTGTTAATATCAGCAGTCTGACTTTTCTTTTCCCATAATGTAAGCCAGTTTATCACCACCTCCCCACAAAATAAGATGGTTTCAAATCCACCCTACTTAAAATCCTGATCTATAGTTCATCTTTTCTTGGCTTCTTGATTGCAATGCTTCCCCAGACAGCAACAAAAATGAAAAAGGTTTAGAAAACCTGACCTATTAGGAAAGGTAAAAAAATCTGTGCATATTTAGTCTTGAGATAAGACGACTAATGGGGGACCCGATAGCCTTCACATATGTTACAAAGAGGATGTTGATCAATTATTCTCCATGCCTAGTGAAGGTAAGGCAAGAAGTAAGGGGCTTAATCTGAAGCAAGGAAGATTTTGGTTAAATATTTGGAAAATCTTTCTAATGATAAGGGTAGTTAAACACTAGAATAGCCTTCCAGGGGAGGTTGTGGAATCCCCATCATTAGAGGTTTTTAAGAACAGGTTGGAGAAATACCTATCAGGGATGGTCTATGTTTACTTGGTCCTGCCTCAGGACAGAGGACTGGACTCCATCCTTTCCAGCCCTACATTTCTATGATTCTTGGTGTCCCAAGTCCTATCTCCAGACTGTCACATGAATGATGATTTCACCTATCCTACTGCATGTTCCCACCAATGGGCAATCCCCTACAACACCTCTAATTCCCTATTACCTCCGAGATCAAAACTGCAGTCCTTGTTTTGAAGACACTACATGGCTTTGCACTGGCCTCGCGCTCATTTCTTCATGCCTACTTCTGCTCATTCTGCACCTACCTCTTCTTTCTGTCCCAGCCCCCACCAATTTCACCACGATTGGTGCAAAATCCTTCCATTTTGCTACTCCAACTACCTAAAATTGTTTCCCTTTATCTATCACCTCCCCACCCCCATCCCCCATTTGGCTTTCCATTTCTTTTCAAATCTCAGGTGAAAAGATCACTTTCATCCCTCCTATATATTATTTAATTTCCTCTCTGCTATTGTTTTGGATTTATCTCTGTAATTGTATTATTTACTCCCGTGAAGCATTTGGGCATGTGAGACATTCAGGCTTGGCAGAATTCAATTTTTATTTTTTCTAATTTTGACAGATAATATCAATGTTTATTTTTAAGCTTTTTTCTATTTTTATCAACTTATATTTTCATAGTTTCACAAAATTGGGGGTTTAAAGATTTTTTTTATTACCTATTTATATCTGCACAGTTGCAGGAAAGTGTTGAGGTGTCAGACAATTATTTAACAACAGCTTCTAACAAGTTCTCAAGAAGAATTTCTCTTAGTTTGCTAATCTTTAAATTTCAATTATCTACGGAAATACTGTTTAGTCAGTTTGTGTGTGGTGAAATAGATACCCACATTTACCGATAAAAATCTTATCTTTCCCAGCCTAAAGAGGCTACATACAGCATATAGTTGCAACATATTGTACATATTCTACTCCTACAAGTGCTTGTAAAATGTTTTGCCTATAAACATTATTTTCTGCTGTTGTGATTGCAACACATAAGAACTGGCAAGAGATTAGAATTAGAAACAGGGAGTTAGAATTCCACAACAGGATAAAGAAGTTTATGTGAACCACTCCTCTCCATTAATTAAAGACATGCACAGTTCAGTATTTGTATAGTTACTTGCTAATTATGGGATTACTGTAGCTTGGATTCAGAAAATACTGTGGAAAGTGCAGCCCACATGCAATCTAACAGAATTCAATGCTAGTTTTGTCAATGTCTTCAACATGATCATGAAGAGAAGCTATGAGATTAATATAGTTCTACTGGTCAGACACACAGGGTGAAACAAAAAAGCAAGCTCCTGAAAACCTGTGGTTACAGTCATAAAATACAGTATTGGGGAGAGGGGTGGATTAATAAAAAAGACTCTCTGTCCCAACTAAACTTCAACTCTGGCTATTCTGTTCTGACCTACCTATGTTTCTCCTATTGTTTCAGTTGAAGATATTCTTCCATTTCTCTCCTAAATTAATATGCAGTATTCCTAACTTTGGAATATTAAGTTATATGCCACATTCTACTTGCGAAATGACTACATTTTAGTGAAGGGTCTATTGACCCATATATTGTCTATAAAGCCCATTGCAATCTGCTTCTTTTGGATAAAACATACTAATTGTGAAGCTTAATAGGCATGTGAAAAATTATCATCACTTTGAGCTAAATTGAACAGCATATTTCTTATTTTACTAGATCGAACTATAGTCCATCTTCTTAGTATGCAGAAACAAGCAAAAACTAACATATCACAACATAAAGGTTCACATGTTCAAAAGTACATGCCCAATGCACACACATCTAAACTGGGGATTTGTAAACTCTCCAATGGCTCCAACTTGTGCGTGTACCCTGGGTTGTCTACAAAACACTTGGAAATATGGGTCAAAATGCTGATCTCAAATTCTAGTTTGTTGGCCAAAAGACCATAAAGTTCATGCAGTACTAATGTAAAATGTAATTTTGTGCATGTGAATTGTCACCATATAAAAAGCTGAATTCAGCTACATGAATCTTTTCAACAGCCTATTATTTATTCTGCAGCCATTAATTACGCTTTCACTGATTGTAAGTGACCATCAGTTTACAAGCTAGTAATTTCAAAAACTGATTTTGAAATCATGTCGGATACTACACATACTGCTGATTCATCATGCCAATATTTGTGGTTTTACAAATATATTTTCTGAAGTTTTATCCTGCCCTGATATTTTAGCATTCCATGTTGCTGTGTGAGAGAGACCCACCCACACCAAAGGGCAAACAATCTATGCAGGAGATACTGTTGAAACTGACTATATACAAAGTGCTGTAAAACACAAGCTTGAGAAGGAAAAAAAACACATCACTTTTTCTGCTAACCTCTTTCAGCTAGTCATTACTTGTAACAGAAGTACGGAATACAGACAGAAGGGCAGTTTTTAACTTGATGTTATCCCTTTAGCTGCCCTCACAGATTTAATGCTCTTATCAGAGAATCCCAGCAGGTTGTTTGCTTCTAGAATGTTTCTAGTCTAGTCTACCAAACCACCACCCTCTCTGCATTCAAATGCGGTCTTAAAACTTACCTCAACTGCAACAGCCCACAAGTGATTCAATTATAATATTTTAAACAACTTTGTTTTCCCACCCATTTGTACACATACCTAAACTGAGTTACTATATGATCTACTATTTACTTGCATCGCCCCACTGCCATAGTATCCAAGTACCTTCTAACTATTTCAAAACAGAAATAATCTCTCTCCTCTCTCTCATCCTGATGGAGAAACAATGTGGCTAGTTTGCCTGTTAACCCTTGTCCTTCCCCTCCCTATTATTTATACCTTCACTCACCCATATCATATCTATTATAAATTTGTCAGTTCTTCAGGGCAGGGACCTTATCTTTCCATTTGTTCTCCAAATCATCCACTGCACTTCTGGCCATTATGAAATACATGATAATTCTTTGAAGTCATAAAAATCTCAAATTCCTGAGAGAGTCTGAATTTATTTTTTCCAAACTAAGTAAAATAAAATACATTTTGTATTCATTTAAATCTGAAAACCGAAATTAACTTCACATTTTTAAGGAGGAGGAATATCTTCTATCAGATGCTGCTGTGAGGGGCTCTAACTGAGAAGTAAAATCATTTTAATTTTAAATTTATTTCTATAAAGGCAGTGGCAAAACTAATAAGATAAACCTCCAGTTTTAGGGACCAATCTGTGGTGGTGCTTTCAACAAAATATGTTAAAACAACTTCAGGAATGATTGGCGGATTAGACCCTTTTGAATAGTATTAAACACGCTGAAGTCTGCATGAGGAACATGGATGTTTTACTGGCATTGGACATCAAACACAGAAAAAAATTGACTCCCAGTTAGGGTTGCCACCTGTCCAGGTTTTCCCAGGATCGTTCCTTTTTGGAGGTAGTTGTCCCAAGAAACCTGTAAGGGAGGCTTAGTACACACTGGCAGCTGTCCAGTTTTATGGGCTCAGGATCATGCTGTCTGTCTCTTTTTTGTACCTCAGAGGTGGCAACCCTTTCCCACTGCAGATGGGAAGGATTAAGGGCCTGGGGAAAACAATACATTGGTGTAAAAAAACATCTGGTCCTTAACTGACCTAAAAGTGCCCCTTTAATCTAATGCATGCATGACGCTCTCAGTACCAAAGGCATCATCTTAAGAGGAAAAAAAATTCAAGATCAATACAATATAAAAGAACCTCTGCTTGTTAACAAAACTCTCCATAAGACTCAACCAAAGTCTGCCCAAGCTAATAGCTCTTACACTACGTCCAGAGGGCTGCCAAATGTAGATTCTGGTGAACTGCTGAGGACAGCAGACTATACAAGCATGCTTTTGCTGTGAACAAAGAAGTGGGCTGTAGTCCACGAAAGCTTATGCGCTAATAAATTTGTTAGTCTCTAAGGTGCCACAAGTACTCCTGTTCTTCTTTTTGCCACCAGGAAAGTAATTCCAGAACAGACCTGACAGATCTCAACTTCCATGGTGGGGCATTTTCATTTCTTATTCATAGAGCACTATAAGTGTACGTGACACTTTCCAGAACACACAGAAGGCTTAGGTCCCAGTCCTGAAGGGGTTACAATCTAATTTTAACAAATATAATACTGTATATGCACAAGTACACACAGAAGAACCATTGTGGAGGAGATTAATAATGAAAGATTACAAAAATAGGTAGGGTTTAAAGCGATGAAGGAAGCTGCTTGGCATACAGAAAAGGGGGCTGCATGAGAGATGGTGAAAAACCAGGAGTAAGAGGAAACCAAAGAAGTTGGAGAGGATCTGGAGGACGAGAGGGGAGTTTATGATGCAATGATGTTTGAGATGTATTAAAAATAGTAAATGGTCAAAACTCCCCAACTCTCTTTTTAAAAGTGGATAGTTCTATCTTTATTTCAATCACCGATGTTGACATTTTGATCTATTTTAACAATTACCGCCTGAGTAAATATATTCAGGATAAACTGCTTCTATTTTATCGTCATGTCTGTAAATTATCCAACTAAAACAGCTGTCTTCAGTCCTTATCTATACACATTGTTGCTCATGTGTTTCATGTTATTGAAACATGGTTTTTCATGTTATTACCCTACAGAAAACAGAACCACAGAGTCACTGGCCCAAGGAACTCACAATTTATACAAACACAAAATATAAATCAGATAGAAAATACAAGTAACCAGAGGATGGATTCTGCACAGTGCAGGTTTTATGTAAATAATATAAAAGTATAACAACAGATTTTACATCTAGAAATGTGACAGCAAGATACTCACACATCCATGGCTTGAAGGAGTATCACAGAAATGCTAGGTCTCTCATCACTTGCTGGAATTTCACTCGTTCTTAAATATGTTATGGTTGGCTCAACTGAACGTGCCTAACTGCAACTATAATGCTACTGCACCTTTGAGAGGGCGTACAGACGTATTTTTAATCCTTGAGATCAGAAGCAACAGATCTTGGCATTACAGTCTGAATTTATTACCTGGGATGGCCTATAGCTGTATTAGCTATTAAATGAAGATGAGCCCAGAAAAGTATTGCAGCAGAGTCTGGGGTAATGCTCCTCAGTTGGCAAGTGACAGGATTGCCATGACCAATATAAATAAAGAGATTTACTTTCAGCCTGATGCACACAAGATCTATTCTTGTTCAGTAAAGCACCATCACATTTTGAAAAAGACAGAAAGCTTCCAGGAAAATATCCTGGGACAGTCAATGCTACACTCTTCGCGAATCAGATAATCTTGCTTCAAAATTGGCCATGTTTCTCCTCCCCCACCACTCCACTCGCCATCTGTACCCCCATGTCTTTTGCCCCAAAACTCTTCAGTCCACACAATTCTATTTTATCTTCCAGCCCATTTGAAGCCTGCATGCATATATTATATCCCAAAATTATGCCTGCTTGCTTTGCTCCTTTAAAACGTTGTACAGACACATTTAATGCATTATTGACAAACACCTCCCGATATTTCTCTTGGCTTCTCTGTATTATTCTTCCTTGTATGCTATCGGCTAAGTCGACTCAAGTCTTTGCTGGCAGCAGCAGATGGAGATCTCTGGCAGCATACAGACTAGTAGGGGGCTACGGGTGGATAGCATTGGTTGAAGAGGATGCAGGGTCAGAGCAGCTAGGAGAT